AGCTGAAAACGATTGCGCAGGCAAAGTCTCCGAGGCAGGCATCTTCCCCAACCCCCATCGTGCAGCTGGAAAGGTGAGTAAGTACAGGGAGGGGGGGGGGGCAATTCAGCACAGCTCGCACTCAGCTCTAGCTTAGAGGATAGACGCACTCTGCGACGGCTAGGTGATAGGAGGTTAGGCGCTGTCCGAAGGGTGCTGGCTGGAGGGGGCCATAAACAGGGGTTCACTATTCGCTCTGGGAATAAAAACTTAGCACAGACTGATGTTTGACGCATGGTGCATGTGTGTGTGTGAAGAGCGGTGGGACAGCAATCGGCGCACGACGGTGTGTGGGTGACTTCAATCAGTATATGCACGACGCGCGAGCACATACAAATAAATAATGAAATAGAGAGACGCTTGGCCGCGCCGCGAGCATAGCGCAGAGATGAATTAATTGATTCCGAGCTTGTTGACACGGCTTAGTGGAAATAATTAATTAGCTCTATACAGCCGCGAGCGGCGAGTACGTAATCTGCGCGGTTAGGACGCGCGAGTGGGGGTGGAGGGGGCAGACGTCGCACCCCGCTCGCTCGCGGGGCGGGGGAGATCAGCCCCCACCTAATGGGGAGTGGGGAGAGGGGCATTAGCCCCCACAAGTTTACCTAACATGTCCAATGAATTTAGTAGGTCTTTAGTTTATTTATAAATGGGAGAATCTCAGCGGTTAGGCACAGTTCGACAAAGAGCTCCCGATGATCTCTGTGCTCCCGTAGGTGGGACTGGGGTTCAGTGGTGCGAGCCTGGCACCAGCATATACTGTGTGTATGTACTGTGTGTACTGTGTGTGTGCTGTGCGTATGCGTATGTACTGTGTGTGTTTACTGTGTGTGTGTACTGTGTGTGCATGTAATGTGTGTGTGTGTACTGTGTGTGTACTGTGTTTGCCTGTAGTGTGTGTACGTGTGTGTATTGTGTGTGTGTAGTGTGTGGGTGTACTGTGTATGTATGTACGTGTGTGTGTGCTGTGTGTATTCGTGTATGTACTGTGTGTATACACTGTGTGTGTGTACTGTGTGTGTGTATGTGTAGAGGTGTTACGGGAGGGGGACACGCGGTTGTAAGGTGGTGGCCACAAACACGTCCGCTACGGCCACCAACCTGGGGGGCTGTGGGGGATGCTGTGATCCCTCCCAGCCCCACCCCTCAGAGGGGGAATGTATAAAAGGTGGGATCCGGACAGCTGCAGTTCGACTCAAGCAAGTTGAAGAGCCAGTGAAGAAAGAAGAGCGACTAGCTAGACCCTGGAACTCCTTTGGCCCGCTGTCCTTTTGAGGGCCGGGCAGAGCAAGCCAGGGTGCGACATCGGAGCCGCGAGGCCCGATGTCCTTCTAAGGGCCGGGCTCATGTGGCTGGTGATCGGGACCTGCGCCGAAGCTGGGCCAGGTCAGATAGCCTCCTTGAGAGAGGACCAGGATAGAGGGAACCAGGGAGCTAGCATGGGCTAAAGCTCGGGAAACGTTCCCTCTATAAAGTACGGGTGAAGAGGCCGTTACCTCTTCAAGTATCAGATTTGCCACTGTAATTGAAGTGTCTGTAATAAACACGTGTTGCCTCCAAAGAACATTCTCCGACGCCAATAAGGCCACTACATATGTACGTGTGGGACATGTAGCGTGCTGCGCTACGAACCTGGTGACCCGGGTTCGATTTCCGCTCACGGCCAACACCAGTGACGATTATCTGAGCAGGTCCTGGGCCTCCCTTAGGTCGACTCAGCCTCAAATGAGTACCTGGTGCGATGCATAAATATCGCCACAGGGGAGACAAAGGCGGCCGGGCGTGGTACTGGCCACCCACCCGTCTTGTGTCGTGCTGGCCTTCATAGGTGCTCGCTAACAGCACTTGCCCCTACAGTCTGTTACAGGCTATATGGGGGATCTTTGTCTTTGTGGGTCATGTAGCCCACATGCCCAGCCACCGCATGCCTAAACAGCTTTTGTTTGGCCGGATAGAGGGGGCTAAACGGGCGCGGCACGGACTAGAGAAGATATGGAGTGATGTGGTACAAGAGGGTGTGGAGCTGAGTGGACTTGCCGATGACTGGTACCAGTTATGTCAAGATCGGCCTCTGTGGAGGAGGCTTTTGAAGGACGCTGCTACATGGGCAGTTGGAGGCAGTCGCCCTCCAGCAACAACGGAGGGCAGAGGAGTGACGCTCACAACGAGCGGAGCGCCGGGTGACTAAAACGCAAGTTGGCACAGCAGAGAGCGCAGGTGATACATCTGCCAGTCATCTCAGTCAACCCATGGCACCTCTGCGTCTGTGCTGTGACCTCCTGACAGCGGGCGTTCGACACTTGACATGGCCTTAACGTGCACATAGCCTGGCACAAGCGCCGTGGTGACATCACCACCACTTAGTGGTGAATGGCGGTTGTTGTTGTTCTGTGTAAGTTGAACTTCTTTCGTACTGTGCATAGTCAATCGTGCTAATTGGAGGGGCGACGGGAGGAAACAAACTAAACACAAGCAGTTCTAAAGAAATGAGTTTACAATTTAGATTTAAAGGTGCATTTTTGCAGTGGCTTCCAAATATGGGAAGGAAGAGCGTTCCAGACTGCCACAGAAGCGCATCTCAAAGGGCGCGATGCGGTGACCACCGTCTTTATTCGATGGTTTGCCAAAAGCTGCCGCCGCTGCGAGGATGACCGAGATCAGCAAGGAGGCCATGGCAGCTGCCCTCTACACGATTTGCCTCACGGCTGCCCGTAGGGATGGTCACATTTTCTCAACTCCAATGAGTTGATGGCCCTAAATTAAAACATGGCCACACATTCAATTTGCTTGCAATTGAACCAATACTGCTGTAAAATGGACACTACCAGAAGACGTTGCTGATGCGGAGGGACTACGTTGAGGTATATCGTCTGCTCATCTATTTCGCTTCTACTTATATTCTCCACGAGGCTCTTCTTGCCCCACTTCACTGGAACAAACTTCCCCCTCCACATTAAGCCGTCACCGGCTCACTAAGTTTCCGCTCCTCACTCAAAGCTCACTTATCTTGTCGGGGAGGCTGCCCCCCGCCTCCCCGTTCACCTGTGACCCACCGTTCTCCGACTCTCCCCCCCTCGCTGCTGCCCCTCGTGGCATGATTTTAATGGCTGTACGAACTACCTTCCGAATACGCCGCTGTGGCCCTCTCGTACACGCTAAGCCGCAGGTACGGCTCCCACGGGGTGGCTTCACTGCCGTTGATTTGGGTCCGTTGAATCGAGGAACTGTCCGGCCAAGTCTCGGACACAAGGAGTCAAATCTGCCTTGGGACACGGAGCAGCCCATTGTCAGCAGATTGGGTGCTGCTGTACAGCAACAGACTGAAGCTTCTTCATGTTCAGCCGCTGATGTAAACATTCGTCTTCCGACTGCTTCGACATCCCGATAACTGATTTTGACGCACCACCAACACCCCGCAAGAGTTTCTGATTGGGGTTGTGAATCGCGGGAAAAAGTAATTATTACGAATGAGTTTTTTTTTATATATATACTGCGCACCATCACCGGTGTACAGCCAATACGTTAATTCGCTCTTAATTGGTCACATGAAATCAGCATTGACGACACAAGCAGCAGGAGAAAACGCTCGCACATTTTTTTTTTTATTCCCCAGTGTTCCAGTATTGCAGGAGTGAAAATACTTGTTACGGCTACAACATTGCATCCAAAGATGTGCAAAAATCTACTCTCACTGGGGCAAGTCCCCATGTCCAGCAGCAATCGTTGACAATCACCCCCACTCCCTCTCTCCGTGTTATTCTCAAAAAGAAATTGCTGCGCATTAAACGCTGCACGTTTGCACAAGCATAAAACTGGTCCTCAGGCAACAGCAGAAATCAGAGTTATAGGTCGACAGGGAAACGAGCAGCAATCAATTAAGTGTAAACCACGCGATTTCAGGAAAGTTTGCGTTCAACCAAAACGCGACCATCGCACTCGGTCATCATAGGATCCTGAATATAAACTGTAACTGTGCCATCACTCACAAAGGGATAAATGCCCCCAGTGTTTTACGAACACTTTCAAGTGTGAGTAAAAAACACGTGATAGGAACATCACATGCCCAAGATTCAATTTAAAAAAATCTCCAGCGATGCAAAAATTCAGTCTCAATTCAACATTGAAAGGAAAATTCTGCTTTTTTGACAGGATTCACTATTCCCAACCACTTTCCATAGGCGTCAGGGCACCCAACACCACACCCCCTCTTGAAATGTCTCCGCAACCAACCCATCGTTTAGAAGCTACATATCACTCGCCCGCCATGCCCATCGTGCCATTCTCAGCAAGTGCAGCAAGCTCAGCTAGCTCAGCTGTGCTCGCAAAAAAACACGATTATAAAGTTATCTGAGCGTATATTAAAAATTAACATTTAGAATTAAGTCAATGGGTGTGCGTTTTTTTTTTCAATAATGCCCAGAAATGTACCAATGAATTAAGATAGTTCGGCTCTTCTGTGTCAGGAATAAACCCTTACTTTGCAGCCATTAGAAACGTCGCTCTCTAAAGTAAAGTTCTATCCTCTGAATATAGCAATGCAGCGGTGTGGTTTGATGTGGAGCGTTGGAAAGAGAATGTAAAGTGTAAATCTTGCAGTGTGCCCCTCAAATGATATCCAACGTGGTTCAGGTTTGGAGTTTTGCCAAGGCAGAAAAGCGCAGGATTGAGTAATGCATTGCCCACGTGAGCAAGTGGGTAGGCGGATGAGCGAGGTGGAACATGGTTGAGAATGCTCCATTCGTTGTACTGATTTGTCATTAATAACTAAATACAAAAACTATAATTTTTATTTTACCAGGTAAGGCACCACTGAGCTACACAGCTCTTTTTCAGAAGCGACCTGGCCACAAATGATAGCTCAACAAAGTGGCTTATCATCGTGTGGAAATTTATAGCAGCCAAATTACTCTAAACGCATGCCGATTCTAAATGTGGAGAAAAAAACCGAAGTACCCAGACAAAAAATCCATGCGACCACGGGGAGAAAATTTTAACTTCAAATATGCAACAGGTGTCAGGGTTGGGATCGAACCCACGACCTCCTGTCTTCCAAGTGAGGGAGTTAATATCTCGCCACTGCGGCACCTCAACGCTTGGCTTCGTACGACAAATATTTCACGCTCACAAATAAGTCGCCTGCCATGGTGTGCACCTGTTTGTTAGGGCGGGAATGCTGCAAATGCAAGATGATGTTAAAGAGTTACGTGAGCGCAGAAACACGAACCGCGTTTTTCACTCATGGAATTAGATGTGCGTGCGCATGTTTTAATTTCCAAAGTACTGTGTGCAGAAGCTCACACTAATCACGGTGTTCTTATGGGCTGCTGTTTATATAAAAAAAGCCCCAATGGCGTTTGCCATCAAGAGATGCACACCGGCGAGCGCGCATGGGGGGAACGTAATGGCGAAGGGTCGTCATCACCAGGGCATGCAGGGGTCCGGGCAGGACCTCAGGTAAGCTTCGTAGGTGCCCGTTCCGATTTCCATGAGCGCCGTGTAGGTGGTCAGCTGTGCGCACAGACACGCAAAAGAGGAGCTCTCTCTCTCAGACACCGCACCAGGTAACTCAGATGTGACCGGAACACACGCCAGGGGGATAACGCCACACCGGCGCTGCTCAGAACGCCAGACACGTGTACCACCACCGCTACCCCCCGGGAGGCTTCACAACGGTTCCTGCTCCTACGCTATGAAGTCTCCGCGGAGAGGAAAAGGGCAGAAAAGAAGGGCTGCTGTAGGAAGAAGAAGTTCCACATTTCCACCGCTGCTTTGACAGACACACCAAGACAAGACAAGAATCCCCTGTGCAGCCTTAACAGACCACTGTTTTGACAGACACACCAGACAATAATCCCCTGTGCAGCCTTAACAGACTGTTGGGGCAAGTGCTGTTAGCAAGCACCTATGAAGGCTGGCAGGGCACGCAAGGGGGTGGGTGGCCAACACCACGCCTGGCCGCTTGCCTCCCAACACCACGCCCGGCAGCCTTTGTCTCCCCAGTGCTGATGTTACACGCCGCACGGGTACTAATTTCAGGCTACATTGACCTAGGGGAGGCCCAGGACTGGTTCAGATAATCATCGTCACTCATGTTAGGCATGAGCAGGAATTCATAATAAAGGTTTTTGGGTTAGATCGCGTTATTTATAAATGTGTCGCAACCCTCCACCACCCGACACGGCCAATCAGCAAAAAAGTGTCACGTTGACAAAAGACAAATAGTTCACTACTTTAGCCCACCGGTGTGTTGAACAGTGAATCCACAACATTTACAGTTTGAGTACGACGTTTCGCTTTTAATTACATCCAGCATCATCGGGCAATTCGCCAGAATGGTAAAGCCCTCGCTTGCTCCCGGTCTTAAATAGAGCAGCAGAGTGACATCATTTAACTCATTTCAGGTGCAGTGATTTGAGGCGGAGGGGGGGTATTGTTATTATATATAATCGATTGGTAATCAGTCAATGGTTATGATTAGTAATGAGTTTTAGATTAGTTATTAGTTGTAATGTGTGTTAGTGATTATATCCTACGTTTGCAATCCGTTAATTAGTATGTGTTTCCCCTATAAGGAATTGTAATATGTATTATTTAATAATACGCTTCCAAGCTGCACTAAGCCTGTAGCTGTCAGAGCGATTAAAGTTATTTCTATTCCTCTCAATTTCAATGGATTCTCTAATTAGTCTTTGCCAGTAATAATTAGTTTTACACAACACTTCAACGCTATCAAAATCAATTGAGTGTCCTTGTTGACAAGCATGTTCTGCCACTGCCGACAGTTGTGTTTGAGATAATTTAATATTTCTTTGATGTTCTTTTTGTCTTATGCTGATGTTACGTCCCGTCTGTCCAATATAGCATCTGCCACATAAACAATTAATCCGATATACACCTTCTGTTGATAATTTAGGTAATGCATCTTTAGTGCAAGATACTAGTTTTTGAATTTTGTGTACTGTACCAAATCTTACTGTAATGTTTTGCTTTTGCAAAAACACAGGCTAATTTGTCAGTTACTCCTGAGATATATGGAATTTTAATTGTTTTAACAATCTGATCGCTTTCAGCAGTATTGCTTTGCGATCGTGATTTGGCATTCAGTGCTCTGTTAATTTGAGCATTATTGTAGCCATTCTGTCGTAGTGCTTCTTTAACGTGTTTGATTTCTCTCACTACACTTTCACCATCTGACACTGTTTTAACCCGATGTATGAGCGTCTTGATAAGAGAGGATTTCTGAGCTGGATGATGATGCGAATCTGCATTCAGATAGGCATCAGTGTGCATTTACTTTCTGTAAACGCTGTGTTATTTTACCATTTAGGCCATGTCCAAGCAAATATCTAGGAACGGGAGTGTGTTATTCACCTCCATTTCCATAGTGAACTGGATGGCCGGGTTTTGTGCATTGAGATGATTTAGAAAATCATTAAGTGTATCTTCTTTGGTTCTTTCGGTAAAGTCACGTAGAATGAGAATAAAATAATAAATTGATAAAATAAAATAACACAATAATATTCTCACGACGTTTCGGCCACAACACAAGCGGCCTTCATCAGGTGAAGGGAGCGAGACTGTCTGGTAGGACAGCGCTGGAGTGAGAGAGCCACGTTCAGATCACGGCTTTTAAGCTGTGTGTACGGAAATTTGAGGGCTCTTTGTTCCTCTCACACAGCTTAAAAGCCGTGATCTGAACGTGGCTCTCTCACTCCAGCGCTGTCCTACCAGACAGTCTCGCTCCCTTCACCTGATGAAGGCCGCTTGTGTTGTGGCCGAAACGTCGTGAGAATATTATTGTGTTATTTTATTTTATCAATTTATTATTTTATTCTCATTCTACGTGACTTTACCGAAAGAACCAAAGAAGATGAATCATTGCAGTCACGAAAGCTTTAAATCGAAACATTAAGTGTATCTTTACCATGTGGCCAGATAACCAAAGTGTCATCCACATATCTAAACCAAAAAGATGGTTTTAATGTCCTCGAGGCAAGTGCTCTTATTTCAAAGTTTTCCATGTACAGATTTGCTATAGCAGGGAATAAAGGAGAGCCCATTGCTGCTCCTTCCTTTTGTTTAAAGCAAATCTGTACATGGAAAACTTTGAAATAAGAGCACTTGCCTCGAGCACATTAAAACCATATTTTTGGTTTAGATATGTGGATGACACTTTGGTTATCTGGCCACATGGTAAAGATACACTTAATGATTTTCTAAATCATCTCAATGCACAAAACCCGGCCATCCAGTTCACTATGGAAATGGAGGTGAATAACACACTCCCGTTCCTAGATATTTTGCTTGGATATGGCCTAAACGGTAAAATAACACAGCGTTTACAGAAAGCAAATGCACACTGATGCCTATCTGAATGCAGATTCGCATCATCATCCAGCTCAGAAATCCTCTCTTATCAAGATGCTCATACATCGGGCTAAAACAGTGTCAGATGGTGAAAGTGTAGTGAGAGAGATCAAACACGTTAAAGAAGCACTACGACAGAATGGCTGCAATAATGCTCAAATTAACAGAGCACTGAATGCCAAATCACGATCGCAAAGCAATACTGCTGAAAGCGATCAGATTGTTAAAACAATTAATATTCCATATATCTCAGGAGTAACTGACAAATTAGACCGTGTTTTGCAAAAGCAAAACATTACAGTAAGATTTGGTACAGTACACAAAATTCAAAAACTAGTATCTTGCACTAAAGACGCATTACCTAAATTATCAACAGAAGGTGTATATCGGATTAATTGTTTATGTGGCAGATGCTATATTGGACAGACGGGACATAACATCAGCATAAGACTAAAAGAACATCAAAGAAATATTAAATTATCTCAAACACAACTGTCGGCAGTGGCAGAACATGCTTGTCAACAAGGACACTCAATTGATTTTAATAACGTTGAAGTGTTGTGTAAAACTAATTATTACTGGCAAAGACTAATTAGAGAATCCATTGAAATTGAGAGGAATAGAAATAACTTTAATCGCTCTGACAGCTACAGGCTTAGTGCGGCTTGGAAGCGTATTATTAAATAATACATATTACAATTCCTTATAGGGGAAACATACTAATTAACAGATTACTAACATAGCATATAATCACAATAACACACATTACAACTAATTACTAATCTACAACTATTTACTAATCATAACCATTGACTGATTACCAATCGATTATATAATTACAATACCCCCCCCCTCCGCCTCAAATCACTGCACCTGAAATGAGTTAAATGATGTCACCCTGCTGCTCTATTTAAGACCGGGAGCAAGCGAGGGCTTTACCAATCTGGCGAATTGCCCGATGATGCTGGATGTAATTAAAAGCGAAACGTCGTACTCAAACTGTAAATGTTGTGGATTCACTCTTCAACATACCGGTGGGCTAAAGTAGTGAACTATTTGTCTTTTGTCAATGTGGCACTTTTTTGCTGATTGGCCGTGTCGGGTGGTGGAGGGTTACGACATATTTATAAATAACGCGATCTAACCCAAAAACCTTTATTATGAATAATATTGGTCGCGAAAGCCTACGTGTTAAAATGAGCAGGAATGTCGAATTTCCCGCATTGGCTCTGTATGGTTGTGAACATAAGATGAGCATCAATGCCTCAATAATCACTCGTGATATGGGACCTTTCTTGCCAGTATCAAAATATAAGAATAGGTTTTACCCTTTATGGCAATAAAACAGGTGACAAGATTTTAAAACACCAAACAGAAACCTTTTGTAGATTTGAAGCTTTCGTTACTGCAAGGATTCATACTCTTTGGTTTTATTTGGTAAAGTCATGTAGGTAAAAAAATTAAAATAAAATAAAAGAAACAATTAAAACACGACGTTTCGGAGGCAACGCAAGCTTCCGTCTTCAGGTGGGACCAGTCACAGCCAAAATCGCTGCACCAAGTGGCGAGGCTTTGGGAACCTAGCGCTTAAATACAGGTTAAGGTAGGGGGGGTGTGGGAGGGGCCATGTGGGGGGACTTTAGTGGGGTGCGGAGCTGAGTTAATCCGTCTTTTGTTGTGTAGAGGGTGCGGGGGATGGGTCACTGTGTGTGTGCAATATAAGCGGAAAAAGGCTCTGCCAGGCTGTGCTGTAAGGGGAGGCAGTAGAAAAAAGGAAAATCGAAAAGTTCGGAAATAATGTTTGGTATACCACTGCTTGAAATTGCTGTTAGAAATTAGTTAGTGTTTGGTATGATTTAAAACGTCTCTTCAGTGGTTGCTTAATTTGAAACCATCCTCTCGGTTGAAGTAATTCCTGTGTTTGTATTTGTTGTGTAGAGGGTGCGGGGGATGGGTGACTGTGTGTGTGCAGTGGTATACCAAACATTATTTCCGAACTTTTCGATTTTCCTTTTTTCTACTGCCTCCCCTTACTGCACAGCCTGGCAGTGCCTCTTTCCGTTTATATTGCACACACACACAGTGACCCATCCCCCGCACCCTCTACACAACAAAAGACGGATTAACTCAGCTCCGCACCCCACTAAAGTCCCCCTACATGGCCCCTCCCACACCCCCCCATACCTTAACCTGTATTTAAGCGCTAGGTTCCCAGAGCCTCGCCACTTGGTGCAGCGATTTTGGCTGTGACTGGTCCCACCTGAAGACGGAAGCTTGCGTTGCCTCCAAAAGGTCGTGTTTTAATTGTTTATTTTATTTTAATTCGCTTTACCTACGTGACTTTACCGAATAAAACCAAAGAGTAAGAAACCTTTTGCTCACCCAGGGCTTTATATGCCATGATAGTGCATTGTATTTGTGTTGTACGCCTTTTGGCGTACAACACGTTGAGACTAAGCTCTAAAGAAAGCTGTCTCTGTTTCAAAAACAATGCATATAGGATCAGATGTTTTTGTTTGCATGTTCACCACAAGTACGTGTGGTTAATGCAAACAGGATTCCTTGCAAAAGGTTTCCGTTTGGTGTTTTAACTTTTAACACCTGTTTTATTGCCATAAATGGTAAAACCTGTTCTTATAATCACTCATGACTTGGCTCTTGCTGCACCACTGCAATGTAACTGCGGGCGAAGAAGCAACTGCCAATTCGAGAGGTGCTGGCTGAACTGCAGCGAATGCACGAGCAAAGAAACACACACCTTGTTAAGGACAGGCTTGGTTGAAAGGACATCGTAGATGGTTTCCAGCGTGACATTCTGTTGAATAAAAATAAGAGATACACATTATCACCATGGAGACAGAGACACACTCTCCTCACAGAGACACGCTCCCTCCCCACAGAGACACGCTCTCGCCCCAGAGACACGCTCTCCCCCTACAGAGACAAGCTCTCTCCCCACAGAGACACGCTCTCTCCACAGAGACACGCTCTCTCCACAAAGACACGCTCTCTCCACAGAGACACGCTCTCTCCCCACAGAGACATGCTCTCTCCTGAGAGCTGAGAGACACGCTCTCTCTCCACAGAGACATGCTCTCTCCCCACAGAGACACGCTCTCTCTCTACAGAGACACACTCTCTCTCCAGAGACACGCTCTCCCCCTACAGAGACACGCTCTCTCCCCACAGAGACACGCTCTCTCCCTAAAAGAGACACGCTCTCTCCCCAGAGACACGCTCTCCCCCTACAGAGACACGCTCTCTCCCCACAGAGACACGCTCTCTCCCCACAGAAACACGCTCTCTCCCTAAAGAGACACGCTCTCTCCCTACAGAGACACGCTCTCTCCCCACAGAGACACGCTCTCTCCCTAAAAGAGACACGCTCTCTCCCCAGAGACACGCTCTCCCCCTACAGAGACACGCTCTCTCCCCACAGAGACACGCTCTCTCCCCACAGAGACACGCTCTCTCCCTAAAGAGACACGCTCTCTCCCCACAGAGACACGCTCTCCCCCCACAGAGACACGCTCTTTCCCCCCAGAGACACGCTCTCCCCCTACAGAGACAAGCTCTCTCTATGGGGAGAGAACGCTCTGTCCCTACAGAGACACGCTCTCTCCCTACAGAGACACACTCTCCCCACAGAGACACGCTCTCTTCCCACAGAGACACGCTCTCTCCCTACAGAGACACGCTCTCTCCCCACAGAGACACGCTCTCTCCCCACAAAGACACGCTCTCTCCCTAAAGAGACACGCTCTCTCCCCACAGAGACACGCTCTCTCCCTAAAGAGACACGCTCTCTCCCTACAGAGACACGCTCTCTCCCCACAGAGACACGCTCTCTCCCCACAGAGACACGCTCTCTCCCCCCAGAGACACGCTCTCCCCCTACAAAGACAAGCTCTCTCTATGGGGAGAGAACGCTCTCTTCCCACAGAAACACGCTCTCTCCCTACAGAGACACGCTCTCTCCCCACAGAGACACGCTCTCTCCCCACAGAGACACGCTCTCTCCCCACGGAGACACGCTCTCTCCCCACGGAGACACGCTTTCTCCCCAGAGACACGCTCTCTCCCCACAGAGACACGCTCTCTCCCCACAGAGACACGCTCTCTCCCCAGAGACACGCTCTCCCCCTACAGAGACAAGCTCTCTCCACAGAGACACGCTCTCTCCACAGAGACACGCTCTCTCTACAGCTACCTCTACGGCACTGCCCCGTGGAGGCAATCCATTATAATCCAGTAAAAGTAGAATTAAGAACATTTTGTTTTCCTCTTGATTTGTTTGAAGAGTATTGCATTCGTTCGTGCTGAGCTACAAAGTGATCCTGGCCTGTTGTGTTTTATTGCAGTCAGGAGCGGTTGAGACCAATAAACGTTTTCTCCAAAGGTGAACATCACTCTTGGGATTTATCGCGTTCCACTTTCTTCGGAAATACATTGACACCCCTTCAAGGGAAATGTATATTTTTTATTAATTAAGTTTTGAGAAGGCGCAGCAGTTCCAACAAACGGCCTCAGAGTGCCGTAGAGTAAAATGTTCGTTCTTTTCTCAATCCGCTTGTCCTGGCGAGGGTCATGGTGGCGGCAGCGTATTGAGTAGTGGCGGTCCACACCTCCCTTTCCCTGGCGACAGACTCTAGCACTACTACACTATACACTACTACACTATACACTACTACGCCATACACTACTACGCTCTACACTACTATACACTACTACGCTATATACTACTACGCAATACACTACACCACTATACAATACTATGCACTATACATGACTACACTAGACACCACTATACACTATTATACACTATACATACTACACAATACTAGACACTACTACACACGACTATACACTACTACGCTATACACTATTAACACTATACACTACTCCACTATACACTACACACTACACTATACACGACACTACTATACACAGACTCTAGCTCTTCCTGGGGGAATTCCGAGGCCTTCCCAGGCCAGCCAAGCGACGTAGTCCTGCCAGCGGGTCCCGAACCGGCCCCGGGGTCTTCGCCCAGTAAAATGTATTTCATTTTAAAGACAAACATCTCTAGTTTATGTAACAAATCACAGGAAACAAGAAGGGTTTTTAGTTTCTTTCTGAATGGAAGACTCAGGTACACGACCATTGCCATAGTCGAGACGAGGTCTTACAAGGGGCAGCATTCAGGACCGCAGCGCAATCTCTGTCAGAGAGGAATGGTTCTGATTGTTCTGATTGATTGTCCGCAAGTGGAAACCAATCGGTTTCTACTACTTGCTTTACCCGGGGCAAAAAAAAACAGTTAATGAAGAATCTTTATTTACACTGCAGGAGCAGGAATCCGATGAGCTATCAAGCTCTTTTCTTCACAGATGTCCAGTAAGAGGGCACAGGGTCAGAACAAAATTATACAACACCAAGCCGTCCCAATTACTAGTCGGGGTGCCAATCCATTGACAGTTAAAGACGCTGCCAAAACCCAGCAAATATTTTGTTTAGTCCGATTTGAGTTTCACTCAGTGGCCTTTAAGTCTCTCCACTTTTCTCCCATAGCTAAACCCAAAAGACAAAGATCCCCCTGTAGCCTTTAACAGACTATTGTGGCAAGTGCTGTTAGCGAGCAGCTGTGAAGGTCGGTATGGCACACGAGGGGGTGGGTGGCCAACTGCACGCCCGGCTGCCTTTGTCTCCCAAGTGGCAATGTTTAAACACCGCATCAAGTAATCGTATGAGGTTGAGTCGACAAGGAAAGGCCCAGGACCAGGTCAGATAATCGTCACTGGTGTTGACCGTGAGCGGGAATTGAACTCGGGATGCCAGGTTCATAGTGCAGCATAGCGCTAACCGTTACACTACCACTCCCCAGCTAATCCTACACACTCAAAAATGTGACCGGTATTGGCCAGACCACATCCCCAATGCTGAAAATTTGACCTGAAAATTACTCAGTTGGTATTACACACAGAGCAACAACATCACCCCCCTTACTGTGAAATTATGGCTCAGGAATTACCTCCTGAAATGGAGTCTTGAGACTCAGTGGGGCCGACCTTGGTGAACACGAGCAACCGTAATAATTCAAGGGCAATGCGTCGAAGCTCCACGAACGCATACACTTTGTGTATATTGAGGTATTACTACTATAGTAATCTCATGGGCAGGAGTGACCTCGGCATGAGTTTGCATCAGTCTGGAACCCGTGCCTAACGGAGGGGGCCCTTGCCAATAAACAGCTGGCGGGTGGCAGGGTGGCCTCGGTGGAGCACTCGTGGCCTCACACTCGTGTGGGGAGGCTTTTGAGTAGTGGTTCTGCCTCTGAAGATACTGGACGACTCGACGCGTATAACACAACGGGGTGGCCCTGATTGAGACACTGGAGATGCCACGACTGCAATTCCACGTCTCCCACCAACCCACCCACCCGAATAATGGGGCTTATTTTCAACTCTCACAACACCACCACTGCCATTTCTGCCCCTCTCTCATCAGTCCCCTTGACGTGTTTATTTAACAAGCGAACAAAACCTCTGGAGATTCACGTCATCTTTCAGGGGAGGTCAAAAGCCATTCCTCTCCCCGCCCCCGCCTTCGAATAAACATCCTCGAATATGTGCCCTTTGTCAGACTCCTGCTTTGATCTGGGAGGTAGCCGACTCTTTGTCATGTGTTCCTAATAACCGTCAGCAGCCCTCGTGATTGTATTCATCTCTTGTTCTACGTCTTCTGCTTATGCTTCTTCTTGCGTGCTGCCTCCACAGTCTTGTACGTTTGTCCAGTATCAGACTCGTGTTGATATGGCCAGAGGTGGATAAACCATGACACACATGGTGGGTGGGTGGGTGGGTAAGCGAACGGGTGAGTGAGTTAATGAGTGAGCGACTGAGTGGGTGAGTGGGTGAGTGGATGAGTGAATGGGTGGGTGATTTAACGAGTGGGTGATTGACTGAGTGGGTGGGTGAGTAAGCGAACAGGTGAGTGAATTAGTGAGCGAGTCAGTGGGTGAGTGAATGAGTGAAGGGTGGGTGGGTGAGCGGGAAAACGGGTGAGTGAGTGAAAGAGTGAAAGAGTTAGTGGGCGAATGGATGGGCTGCCTGAGTAGCCACACTTCTGCATGTTGACGCTAGAGCCGACCACTCCTTGTGGGACAGCGATTTAAACACATCCAGGCCAACCAATTTCCCTGTGCAGCGGCAGCAATGCGTTTGACTGCGTCCTGCCTATCCGTGTTAACATCTCTTCCCACTGTGCTTCACTCACACGACATTCGCTCCGGTTACGTATGCACGTCGGCTACGCACGTACGTGTGTGAAGCGCGACACAAAGCGGGTGTGCATCTGTACGCGCACGCGCGTGGCAGAGCGCAGGCTCGGCCGCGCATCGTGTACACGGGATTTTACGTACGGCCTGCGTAGTCCGGTTCATGCAGAGCATGGCGGGCGTCCTGCGGTCGTCCAGAAAGAACGGAGGCCTCCAGTGGTCATAGTTGGTTTCCAAGACGTACCACAGGCCATGCGCGGGGTCCATCCTGCACAGCAGAGACGCATGCGGTGCAACAACAACCACGGTCACCGTTAGGCTCCGAGTGCACCAACAGCCTCGACACGGTGGTGTCCCCGCCGCTGCGTCGATACGGCCGTCAAGACACCACAGCTGGATAATTGAGGGCGCCACGGTGGCGCGATGTTTCCTACCTCGCCTGGTATACAGGAGGTCGTGGGTTCCATCCTGACCCTGACGCCGTTGTATATTTGGAGTGTGCACGTTCTCCCCATGGTGGCGTAGATTTTTCTCTGGGTACTCCAGGTCCCCCCAAATTTAGAATCGACATCACGCGTTTAATTCACATCAGCCGTGATCAATCCACTACTGGTGTGACGCAAATTACCCTTCAACATTGCCAGAGAGGACGGCATAAAAACTTTAGGCCTCAGCCTGTATATTTGGAGTTTGCTTGTCTCTCTCCTCGTGATCGCGTGGATTTTTCCTCCGGGTCTTCTGGTTTTTCAATACATATTTAAAATCAACGTTATGTATTTAGAGTATTTGGCTGTTATATATTTCCACATGATAAGCCATTTCGTTGAGCTATAATTTGTGCCCAAGTCACTTTTGAAAAAGAGCTATATAGATCAGTGGGCCTTACCTGGTAAAATAAAACATAGTTTAGTTTTTACTTTAGTTTTATACCCACCTTGCACCGTGAAATACATTAAACACGCTGCTCATCGTGCAGAATTTACCATAGTTCCAATGCATATGTTGCACACACGCATGCACACATACACACGCCCACACAGATACACCCAATCTAACCTGAGTTACCAGCGGGGGCCCACACAAGTCCAAAGGCCTTACATTTTAATGACTCTCAACTTACCGAACAACTTAGGCTTAACTGAATGATTCCTGTACAGTGTTAATGTACACACGCGTCAGCAGGCATCTCACGACCATATTTAGGAAGTGTCCGAGAGTTATGACACAAGCAATAGGGAGGCACCAATCCAGCTCGAAGCCAATGGTGAAAGATTCCCATTCCCAGAGCAGAGGCAAGTTAATAATAATTTTTACAATAATAAATTTAACAATAATAATTGTTTTTTATATAGCGACGCTAATGCAAATTGCATCTCAACTTAATCCACAGCACAACTTTTGGCACAGAGTGGTTTTGTTGCGTGTTTGAGTGCGGGTGACGTGGCGGTGTACATGCGTGCGCATGTGTGTGCACGCGTACGCACTTCCACACGTCGAGCGTGGTCTTGCGGGCGCGCGTGATCACGCAGCCCTCCCCGGAGGCGGCGCCGCCCAGGATGAAGTATGCGGGTGCCAGCATGGGCGTGTCCGTGAGCATCTTCAGAGCCTCGTCGTAGCTGGGAAAGGCAGTGACGTGTCACGCGCGCTCGCCTCCGCTTGGCAATACGCACAACAGAACACGGAAAGTAAAATTTCGATATCTAGCTTCGGTAGCCAATCGGCGAATGGGCACTGGTTGTCAGCCGATGAACCCCTTTGTTGCCGTCGTTCGATGATATTGAAGCGAGGAAGCGGCCGAAGACAACTGCAATTAAATTACACGTTCCACGAATTCCACCGTAATAAAAACAATGTACATACAAAACCACCGCGAGAGTTCTCATCCACAATATACAGAAGATGCCCCTCGCAGCGGATATGCAAAAGGACAAAAAAGCAGGGCTAAGTCAACGAAACGAAGCTTTCTAACGTGTGATTAAACTCGCAGTGGATAAGGGATGAAAAATACATCACCTCACTGCGATCTGTTAAACGAGGGAACAAAAAACCCAAGAACCCAGCTCTTATCTGGGAGGAATTATTGGCAGCGAGGTGGGGCGGCGCTGTGAACACGCTGCTCGGGAAACCTAGGCGACGCGTTTTACCTTCAGTTATTTGTGCATTCCACAGCGGCCCGTTGAGACGACTTGGCGCGGGGGTCGGGCACAACACCAATGTCACCGCAAAGCTCCAACAGGGTGCAGCGCATGCATAGTCAAGGCACCACGGCCACCCGAGGGAACCTCCGTCACCATGAAAGTCAACCGTGGCTCATGCCCCCTCCCGTTACCCACAACAGGCTGTGGACCACGGAATCAATCCGGCTCACACGCCCTCGAATAAATGAATACATAAAGTGTGGCAATATTGGCGATTCAGAATGGATTCCGCGGGTCAGGTAGCATAAAGTGAAATGCGCCATACACCCTCCACCACCCGACAGAGCGAATTATATCATTTCTGCCACAACCAGTGACAGCAATTATCTGAACCTGGGTCATGGACCTCCCCTAGGTCGACTCAGCCCCAAATAAATACCTGGCGTGGTGTGTAATAAACGTCGCCACTTGGGAGACAAAGGCGGCCGAGCGTGTGTGGTGCTGGCTACCCACCCCCTCGTGTGCTGTGCCGGCCTTCACAGGTGCTACTAACAGCACTTGCCCCAACAGACTTCTAAAGGCTAGACAGGGATCTTTGTCTTTGGTGCTGGCCACCCGCTCACCCACCCTGTTTTCAACAGGAGTGTTAAATGACCCGAGAAGTAATTATACTGCTTTAAGTGCCACGACGTGTAGGAAGGTGATCACATTGCAAATCAAATTGTAATTATTCCGCCGCTTTTCAGCAGGTGTGACATGGAGTCGCCCGTTATTGGTGTGGATTGAAGATCAAAATCAGCGCCACATTCCTCTCTGTGGACTGGTGATCCGGGAAAGACACCGACATTTGTTTGTGGACTTCAAGGCCGAGGGTGCTGAGTTAGGGTGTCACCGCAACTCCCGGAGCTACCGAACCTCCAACGAGGCGTGGGCATTTTTAGTGAGGGTGACGTAAGTGGGGAGCGTAGTGCTCAAGTGTGCAGGAAAGCAACTGATACTTTGCGATGCTACGAGCAACTCGACCTGGAAAAAAAGACTAAAGCTGTGCAACCATCACTGGACATGTCGCTGTGGCTCCAACACCTCACTCCACCTCCACGACCAACATTGGTGAATGTTAACCTAACCTAACCTTTTTCTCTCCTGACAGCTAGTTAATCAGTGATGTTATTACTCGTTTTTATATTAAATATGCACGTTAAGAAAGTCTGCTATGTTCTTAAGCTTTATAGGAAATCTCCCAGCGACATAACCACCCCATTATTCACATCGTTTCTTGCAGGAGGCTTTCCGCTTAACATCGCCTCGCTTAAAAAATAAGTCATATCTTCCAGGTGCGCAAACACCCGTCGCTAAGCGAGCAGCGACTGTACGAGGCGATTTGGTCCCTGTGGATTTACCAAACCCAGAATGGGACCGCACCTCAAGATGCTGAACCACCGTAGGGAAAAAAAAAATATCTGTCGTCCTTTGGGGTGAAGAATTACTCAAGAGGTTGCGGCTGAAGCGAGTACGTTGTGCATGCGCAGAAATATATACCCGTCTGTGACTCCTGTTCTTTGGGTTCAAGAATAGTAATTAATCAAATGTATTTATATAAAACACAGTGATGCCCTCCAGGCTCCTGCAATGTGGGCCATGGTCCAAAAAACAAAAGCAGTCCCTTCTCTTTGGCAAAAACCGGACACCCTCTGTGTAGGGCAACGTTCTCCATGGAAAGGACAAGCCAGGGCACGTCGGACGGAATCACGACACCGTGGGAGGCCACGAGCACGACCACCGATAGCAATTAAAACCGACTCGCTCACAAACAGACGGCACACACAACACAGCTCGCGTACCAGCTCCCAGGCACCTGGCGTCCTCCGCACACGACTCAATTGGCACCGTACGGCGTCGCGTATCGTCGGCGACTGTCCCGCTGACCAAATTCGGCGGAGGCCCGCAACAGCTATATGCGGCCACCGAAGAACGTGACGAACCGCTGCATCAAGCCAATTCGTCCGCGTTGCGCACTCAAGTCTGTTAATTCGCGGTCGCGTAATAATTTCAGAGGAGGACCGTTTCCTTGGTTCTTTCGGTAAAGCCACGTAGAAGGGAAATAATAAAATAAAAAATATAAAACATAATATAATAAAATTCTCACGACGTTTCGGCCACAACGCAAGCAGCCGTCCTCAGGTGAAGAAACAGAGCTGTCAGGAAGACAGCGTCTTAATGAACACTGCTAAGCTTGGCAGCGTATTTTAAGTTGGGTGGGAGGAGGTGAGAGCCTTGACAAAGGAGTTTACATATTAACAGAGAAATTTAGCATATTGATCACAAATGCAGATATGGGGTTAGTCACTCCTTGCGGAATGTGTAGGCGGTGGGTTGTCCCAAAGACATATTATGCTCGTGTATTATGTAGAATTAGCAGTAATAAAGGGAGGGAAATTTTAATAATAAAGAACTGCAGCAGCCAAACCACCGCGTATCAAACTAGTGTATTATGTGGAAAAACAAAAAAGGAGTTAATTTTATTATATTATGTTTATTTTTATTATTTTATTATTTGCCTTCTACGTGACTTTACCGAAAGAACCAAGAATATGAATCCCTGCAGTCCAGGGGCGGAGCCAGGGGGGTGACAGGGTAGAAAATTGTCACCCCCGAAAAAAAATAAAAAATCGAAAATCTTAAACATTCTGCGTATAAGTGTACGACACTCGGTCTGGCAGACTCCGTGCAACTGCATTGTCAGAGTGTGTCGCCAACCGATGGCGTGGGGTATAGCCGATTTCTCATTCAATCATTCTTGAAATTAAAATGTGTTGAATGTCACCCCGGGCTGAAAATCCTGGCTCCGCCCCTGCTGCAGTCACGAAAGCTATAAATTGAAATTTGAGGACCGTTTTGACGATGTTCAACAATGGCAACGTAGCAGCACGCTGAGGCACGTGTTTCTACGTTGCCTGCGATGTTATCGTATGCCGTTGAAGGAGGGTCATTGCCCGACACTTTTATTTTATGGTCACATTGTTGTTGACGAGTGTGTCGAGTTTTTTTTATGATTGTACTTTGCGTGCGACATTGCCAATGCACCAGCAGCATCACCCAGGTAAGGCCCCACTGAGCCATATAGCTCTTTTTCAAAAGCTACTTGGCTTTGATAAATTATAGTTCAACAAAGTGGCTTATCGTGTGGAAATTTATATCAGCCATATACTCTAAATACGTAAAGTGGATTTTAAATATGGATCGAAAAACCAAAGGACCCGGAGGAAAAATCCACGCGATCACAGGGAGAGAGACAAGCAAACTCCAAATATACAGGCTGAGGCCTAAAGTTTTGATGCCGTCCTCTCTCCGGCAATGTTGAAGAGTAACTTGCGTCACACCAGCAGTGGATTGATCCCGGCTGATGTGAATTGAACCTCACCTGGTTGCATTTTCCAGAACTGATCTCGTAAGGAAACTCATCCAATGGCCATCCCTCTGCCCCAGGATCCACTCAATAATGCCTGCTCACATCCACACAGATGCACACACACACGCACAAAGATAAAGACAAAGATCCCCCATATAGCCTTGACAGACTGTAGGAGCAAGTGCTGTTAGCGAGCACCTATGAAGGCCGGAACGGTACACGAGGGGGTGGGTGGCCAGCACCACGCCCGACCGCCTTTGTCTCCCTAGTGGCAATGTTTACACACCACACCAGGTACTCATTTGAGGCTGAGTCGACCTAGGGGAGGCCCGGGACCGGTTCAGATAATCGTCACTGGTGTTGGCCGTGAGCGGGAATCGAACCTGGGTCGCCAGGTTCATAGCGCAGCGCGCTAACCGCTACACTATCGCTCCCCACACACACGCACACACATGCAGGCACACACACAAGCACACATACGTACACACACACGCGCACACATACGTACACACACACATGCACACGCACACACTCACACATCATACGCGCACGCACACACGCACACACACACACACGAGTGAATAGCCGCACGGGAGCGCCCTTCGTGGTCAGCGTGAACATCAACCCTGTGCATTCCAGCGTGTACCTATGTAGCAATCCAGACCGACACGAGCGATGCACGCACGCATCCAAACACGATTACTCGCAGATACACTGCAAATAAACAAGCGCCCCATCACTATATATATGAACATACAAAGGTCCCCTGTATATCCTGAGCAGACTTTTGGGGCAAGTGCTGTTAGCGAGCACCTATGAAGGCCGGCACGGCACACGAGGGTGGGTGGCCAGCACCACGCCCGACCGCATTTGTTTTTCCCTCATTTCGTTAACACACCGCACCAGGTACTCATTTGAAGCTGAGTAGACCTAGGGGAGGCCCAGGACCAGTTGAGATAATTGCCACTAGTGTTGGTCATGAGCGGGAATCATACTTGGGTCGCCGGGTTTGTAGCGCAGCGCACTAACCGCTACGCCACCACTCTGCATGTATGCATCCAATAGAAATATACATTTAACACGTAACACCCTCCTCCACCCGACACAGCCAATTAATAACGTTGTCACATTTCAGGCAACCGCCTGATGATGCCAGCTGTAACCACCAGCGAAACGTCCGCACCCAATTGTGAATTGTGCGTGGATCGCTCTCCAACAACACCGGTGGTGCTGAAGCGGTCATAAATTTATACATTTGTTCACATGAGGAACTTTATTAAGTGGCTGTTAGGTGGAGGAGGGTTTTATGAAACCCGTTTTACTCATGTCATCTGACCCAAACATCTATATCTATTATCAATAAAAATACATATTAAACACGTTCCTGAACGCACGCCCAAAGAGCCAAAACATCTAGAGTCCAACAATAAGAGTGAACTTGTGTCTTGCATTGATTGACGTTATAGGAGCTGGGGAATTACCAAGTGCAACAATGCAAGGGAAGAAGCAGAAAGAGAAGCGCTGTGACCTGCAGTGTGGTGAGTGATGGGGTGAGTGTGTGTCAGTGGATGGGTGAGTCTGTTGTTGTGATGTGCAGTGTGGTGAGTGATGGGGTGAGTGAGTGGATGGGTGAGTGAGCGTGGTGAGTGATTGACACGGCCACATCGGGGGGTGAGAGCTGTGACAACGAGTTATCAGATCGTTCACAAAGCGGGGAGCGCGTCATCGCCACTGACCGATGTAGCCCCCGTCGATGTTGAAGCGCTCGTTCATTGTGAGGGTGAAGGCAGCCTGCACTCATGAACACATGCGCACCCAGTTACACACGCTCACACACGAACAAACGTGCACCCAGTCACACACGAACATACACGCTCACACACGAACAAACGCGCACCCAGTCACACGCTCTCACACACGAACACACACGCACTCACCCACACACGTGCACCCAGCGACACACGAACACAAACGGGTGCCCAGTCTCACTCGCACCCATGATACAAATACGGTCCCAAAATACAACTAGGAGCTGATGGGGTGGGCCAAAAACAATGCATAGCGTGCCAGAGCTAAAGCAAATGCCTCTCCTATTTACAGTGTGCACAGCCTGAGTAATGTACGTACAGGCTCATTACAGTCAACATCCCCAGGAATCACACAGCCTAAGTGATGTACGTACAGGCTCATTACAGTCAACATGCCCAGGTATCACACAGCCTGAGTGATGTACGTACAGGCCTCATTCCAGTCAACATCCCCAGGCATCACACAGCCTAAGTGATGTACGTACAGGCTCATTACAGTCAACATCCCCAGGTATCACACAGCTCAAGTGATGTACGTACAGGCCTCATTCCAGTCAACATCCCCAGGTATCACACAGCTCAAGTGATGTACGTACAGGCCTCATTCTAGTCAACATCCCCAGGTATCATACAGCTCAAGTGATGTACGTACAGGCTCATTACAGTCAACATCCCCAGGTATCACACAGCTCAAGTGATGTACGTACAGGCTCATTACAGTCAACATCCCCAGGTATCACACAGCCTAAGTGATGTACGTACAGGCCACATTCCCGTCAACATCCCCACGTATCACACAGCCTGAGTGATGTACGTACAGGCCTCATTCCAGTAAACATCCACAGGTATCACACAGCTCAAGTGATGTACGTACAGGCCTCATTCCCGTCAACATCTCCACGTATCACACAGCCTGAGTGATGTACGTACAGGCCTCATTCCCGTCAACATCTCCACGTATCACACAGCCTGAGTGATGTACGTACAGGCCTCATTCCCGTCAACATCCCCAGGTATCACACAGCTCAAGTGATGTACGTACAGGCTCATTACAGTCAACATCCCCAGGTATCACACAGCCTAAGTGATGTACGTACAGGCCACATTCCCGTCAACATCCCCACGTATCACACAGCCTGAGTGATGTACGTACAGGCCTCATTCCAGTAAACATCCACAGGTATCATACAGCTCAAGTGATGTACGTACAGGCTCATTACAGTCAACATCCCCAGGTATCACACAGCTCAAGTGATGTACGTACAGGCTCATTACAGTCAACATCCCCAGGTATCACACAGCCTAAGTGATGTACGTACAGGCCACATTCCCGTCAACATCCCCACGTATCACACAGCCTGAGTGATGTACGTACAGGCCTCATTCCAGTAAACATCCACAGGTATCACACAGCTCAAGTGATGTACGTACAGGCCTCATTCCCGTCAACATCTCCACGTATCACACAGCCTGAGTGATGTACGTACAGGCCTCATTCCCGTCAACATCTCCACGTATCACACAGCCTGAGTGATGTACGTACAGGCCTCATTCCCGTCAACATCCCCACGTATCCGGCGAAGTTGGTTGAGCGGAACACGGTCTTTCCCGAGCGCTGGAAGTCCAGGTTGACGACGAGGGGCGCGAGGCGCGCCGGCACCATCCACGAGTTGTTTCTGGAGTCCCAGCTGCAGACAGAGAGACAGAGACACAGAGAGGCAGAGCGAGACAGAGAGCTAGAGACAGAGATGGGGGGAGGCGCATGTACGCGGACGCCGCAGCCTAGCAGAGTATGGAATTAAATGCAGCGTGGCACGTTGATGGGAGGTACCCCAATGGGTTCTCCCTTATCTCCAGTTGTAGCCAATGTTTTCATGGAGAAATTTGAGAAAGATGCCATCCAGGCATCTACCCTACGCCCTTCCTTGTGGAAGAGATACGTAGATGACACGTTCATCATCTGGCCACATGGCCTACCAGCTCTGGACCAATTCTTCAACCACATTAATTCCATACACCCAGCCATCAAATTCTCCTTAGAGGTGGAAAAGGATGGCAAGTTACCATTCTTGGATGTTTTAATCGAAAAGACACTTGATAGCTCAATGGGACACTATGTCTACAGGAAAGCCACCCATACGGATGCCTCCCTAAAACCTGACTCCCACCACCATCCATCCCAGAAGAAGTCCCTCATCAAAACTCTACACCATAGAGCTCGTTGTATTTCCGACCATCACCACCTAGCCAATGAACTGGAACACATACATCAAGCTCTCAAGATGAATTAATATTTAGACTACACAATCTGGAAAGCTATCACCCCAACCGTTGGGAAAGAACCATTTCATGACCCAATCAAAACCATCACCTTGCCATACATAGCAGGGGTCACCAAAAAGATTTACAAAATCATGAGCAAACACAAGATCCAGGTTCGATTCCACATAGTACATAAAATTCGTGATCTGATCCCATCTGTGAAGGATGTGATCCCTGACGTGCAATACCCCGGCGTCTACAAACTAAGCTGAGTCTGCGGCAGTAGTTACATTGGGGAAACGAAGCGACAAGTCTCGGACAGGGTTCGTGAACATAAGGCAGATCTGAAACAAGGTAGGACCAATACCTCAACCGTGGCTGATCATTGTTTTAACGCTGTGAGCGCACATGAAATTTATTTTGCCAAGACGACGGTACTCTCCCAACCCACTGGCTATCAGCAAAGATTCGTTCATGAAGCCATCCAATTGCAAACGAGAAGATGGGTACAAACTGAGCAATCATTGGAAGGACGTTATTAACCAGTTTAGGTCATAACTGGCTGTGATGTTCCCTACCTACCTGCCAATGTTAGCAGTTATTTTCGACTCTCTGAGTTACATTCACTAACACACCCACCGTTGCTCGTTTTCCTCGATGTGGTGGTGGCTCTTACTGAGCTCTCTCCGATTTTACATTTAAATGCAAATTTCTTCCATTGACATGCTAATCTCTCAGTTTAACACGTAGGCTTTCGCGACCCAATATTATACATAATAAAGGTTTTTGGGTTAGATCGCGTTATTTATAAATGTGTCGTAACCCTCCACCACCCGACACGGCCAATCAGCAAAAAAAGTGTCACATTGACAAAAGACAATTAGTTCACTACTTTAGCCCACCGGTGTGTTGAAGAGTGAATCCACAACATTACAGTTTGAATACGACGTTTCGCTGGTAATTACATCCAGCATCATCGGGCAATTCGCCAGAATGGTAAAGCCCTCACTTGCTCTCGGTCTTAAATAGAGCAGCAGGGTGACGTCATCATTAACTCATTTCAGGCGCAGTGATTTGAGGCGGAGGGGGGGTATTGTAATTATATAATCGATTGGTAATCAGTTAATGGTTATGATTAGTAATGAGTTGTAGATTAGTAATTAGTTGTAATGTGTGTCATTGTGATTATATGCTACATTAGTAATCCGTTAATTAATGTGTTTCCCCTATAAGGAACTGTAATATGTATTATTTAATAATACGCTTCCAAGCCGCACTAAGCCTATAGCCATCAGAACGATTAAAGTTATTTCTGTTTCTCTCAATTTCAATGGATTCTCTAATTAGTCTTTGCCAGTAATAATTAGTTTTACACAACACTTCAACGTTATCAAAATCAAGTGAGTGTCCTTGTTGACAAGCATGTTCTGCCACTGCCGACAGTTGTGTTTGAGATCATTTAATATTTCTTTGGTGTTCTTTTAGTCTTATGCTGATGTTATGTTCCGTCTGTCCAATATAGCATCTGCCACATAAACAATTAATCCGATATACACCTTCTGTTGATAATTTAGGTAATTCGTCTTTAGTGCAAGATACTAGTTTTTGAATTTTGTGTACTGTACCAAATCTTACTGTAATGTTTGCAAAACACGGGCTAATTTGTCATTTGCTCCTGAGATATATGGAATTTTATTTGTTTTAAGAATCTGATCGCTTTCAGCAGTGTTGCTTTGCGATCGTGATTTGGCATTCAGTGCTCTGTTAATTTGAGTATTATTGTAGCCATTCTGTCGTAGTGCTTCTTTAACGTGTTTGATCTCTCTCACTAGACTTTCACCATCTGACACTGTTTTAGCCCGATGTATGAGCGTCTTGATAAGAGAGGATTTCTGAGCTGGATGATGATGCGATCTGCATTCAGAGAGGCATCAGTGTGCGTTTGCTTTCTGTAAACGCTGTGTTATTTTACCGTTTATGCCATGTCCAAGCAAAATATCTAAAGTGTCATCCACATATCTAAACCAAAAATATCGTTTTAACGTGCTCGAGGCAAATGCTCTTATTTCAAAGTTTTCCATGTACAGATTTGCTATAGCAGGAGATATGTGGATGACACTTTGGTTGTCTGGCCACATGGTAAAGATACACTTAATGATTTTCTAAATCATCTCAATACACAAAACCCGGCCATCCAGTTCACCATGGAAATGGAGGTGAATAACACACTCCCGTTTCTAGTTATGTGGCTTTTCTTCAGAAGCGACATGGCCACAAACGATAGCTCAATGAAGTGGCTTACCACATGTAAATTTATAGCAGATAAATACTTTAAAATGCCTATTGATTCTAAATGTGCAGGGAAAAACCGGAGAACCCTAACAAAAATCCACGTGACCACAGGGAGAACATGCAAACTCCAAATTTTCCAAAACAAACAAACACAATTGTTTTTTTTATTTATCTGGTAAGGCCCCAGAGCTATGTAGCTCTTTTTCAGAAGCGAGCTGGCGATCACAAATGATAGCTCAACGAAGTGGCTTTTCACGTGGAAATTTACAGCAGCCAAATACTCTAAACGCGTGGGTCAAGATGGAACCCACAACCTCCTGCACACCGTGGTTGCCAGGTTTGTAGTGCATGACGTTCACCGCTATATAACCTCTCGTACACATCACAAACACATACGATCACTTCATCACAGACACGAGCGGAAACACTCACCCCATGAACAATCCAAAGTCCAGGTTTCTCGCGTGGTACATTTTCCCTAGGGAGGCGATAGTCACACGATTAGGTGGATGCTGTTGAAGCCCGTCAGCACCTCGGGCTCAAAGAGCCCCACCCCCCTCTCTCCCCCCCCCATCCAAAGAAAGCCGTAACCTCTCCAAAACACCGCAGCGCCGGCGCGAGCACTCCAGGCTTCATGGGCAAGCGGACGGCGGAAGAACGCATTGCGGATCAGACACGGCGTCACGCTTTCACGTGAAAGCGTAAATATACTCGAGATCTTACCATGTCTAGATATATGTTTGTGTCGTTTTATTCCAATGCGCTTAACAGCAGTTATAAAATTGTGGAGATAAAACGTGGTGGTGTAGTCATGGTGACGGTTAGGAGGACAGGTGAAGAGGTTAAGGATAGGAGTTGTGGTAGTGATGGGGGTAGTGATTGGGGTAGTGATAGGAGTTGGGGTAATGATAGGGGTAATGATAGGGGTAGTGATAGAATTTGGGGTAATGATAGCGTAGTGATAGGGGTTGGGGTAGTGATAGGGGTAGTGATAGGTGTTGGGGTAGTGACAGAGGTTGGGGTAGGCCTGGTCATAGTTGGGGGGGGGCAGAGAGTATCAGTAGAACAGCCTAGGGAGAAGAGATGGAGGTTGTTTTAAGGGAGGAACGGAAGCAGGTCAGTGAAGATGGGTATACTCTCCAACACACTGGTGGGCTGAACTAGTAACAAATTGGCATGTTTTGTTTACATGACATACCTTACCGGTTGGCTGTGTTGGGTGGTGGTGGGTTAACGACACATTTATACTTACGCGATCTAACCCAAAAAAAACCTCTATTATGAGTATGTAACCGTACATGGAGGTTGCATGCATAGCAGGCCGAGCTGAATTCCCAGGGCTTTTATAGCATGTTTCTATTCTATCCTTGCATAGGATGGCAAAATATTCAGGAGTTAGATACCAATATCGAGGTTTGCTAACGACGACGAGAGGACTTCAGGAGTTAGAGGTTGTGTAGTTTTGCTATTCCTCCTCCTCGTCTGTTGGAAGCGGCTGCAGTGCTTTTGTTCACAAAAACCTTTACCTCCAATTAGCACGGTTGACTACAAACGGTGCGAAGGAAGTTCAACATACATACGTAAGTAAATATTATACGTGATCACAAAGCTTCCTGCTCATCTGTGTTATCAAACGCAGCGAATTTGGTCATTACCATCATCCTTTAAAAAAACAATTATTTTAATTCTGCATGCAAATTGAGGATAACCTCCACAGAATATCAGTGTATCAGTGCCGCTCTGTGTAAGAGGGTGGGGCACCTTTGGTGTCCATGGCGACCAACGACGTGCAGACGGTGAAAACCTCGTAGAACACATTGTAGAGAACCACCTCACCTGCGTAATGCACACATGCGTGTAACACACACACGCGCGTAACACACACAAACGCGTTACACACACGCATAACACACACACGGAAGAAACACACACGGAACAAACGCAATAAGCACGCAACAAACACACACGCATAACACACACGCGCACAACACACAAACACGCCTAACACACACACACGTGTGTAACACACACACAAGCGTAACACACAGACATGTATCAAACACACACGTAACACATATAAGCACAACACACAAACACGCCTAACACACACACGTGCGTAACTTACACACACAAGCGTAACACACAGATACGTAACAAACACACACAAATATAACACACGCGTACAAAACAAACACGTAACACACACACACACACGTGTAACTTACATGTGCGTAACACACGAGCCCGAAACACACACATGCATAACACACACACACGTATCACACACAAAGGCATAATGCAAACGCGGATAACTTTAAAAGTGACACTGGAAGGATGTCCTATTTAAATGTGTGTGATGACAATGTGTGTGTGTGAAGCACACTGTTGTTGTATGTTGATCACGTGCTATTTCCGTGCCCAGTGCAAAAGTCTAAACTAGCACGTGGTGTGTGAACGCGTGAGTATTTACACACGCACACGCATCGCGTTGTGTCTGCATGTCCGTCATCGTGGTACACCGTGTCTGTGCGTCCGTCACCTTTTCTGTGTGTCCGTCATTGTGTCTGCCACCATGTCTGTGTTTGTTATCGTGTCTGTGTGTCTGTCTTTGTTTTTGTATGTGTTATCGTGTCTGTGTGTCTGTCACCATGTCTGTTTGTTATTGTGTCTGTGTTTCTTTCATTGTGTCGATCATCATGTCTGTGTCTGTCACCGTGTCTGTCATTGTGTATGTCATTGTGTCTGTGTGTCTGTCATCGTGTCAGTGTGTCTGTGTGCCTGTCATCATGTCTACATGTGTGCGTGTGTGCGTGCGTACCCAGAGGCACCCCAGAGACTTCGGAGATCCCTTTGAGTTCACCTGCAAAAGGGGCTGGGAATGTGCTAGCGAGCGGGCCCTGCAAGACAAGCAAGCACACACACATTACACACACGATAAACACGCAACCTACACTTATACACACGATGTCCACATATCGCCTTGCATATAAAGACAAAGCTCCCCCATATAGCCTTAATGGACTGTTGGGGCAAGTGCTGTTAGCAAGCACCTATGAGGGCCAGGGCGGTACACGAGGGGGTGGGTGGCCAGCACCATGCCCGGCTACCTTTGTCTCCCGAGGGGGGATGTTTACTACACACTGTAGCCAGGTACTCATTTGAGGATGAATCGACCTAGGTGGAGGCCCAGGAACGGTTCAGATAATCATCACCGGTGTTGACCGTCAGCAGGAATCGAACTCGGGTCGCCAGGTTTGTAGCGCAGCGCGCTAGCCGCTACCCTACCGCTCCACACCTTGCATATATATACACACACACACAATTAAACATGACACAACTGGCACACACAAGTAATACGAGGTGTGTGCGAGGTGAGGTGCCATCTGGAGTGGGCATGATGCCCGTGGGCTGCAAAGAGAGGATAGGCGATTATGCGAGTGCAGTGATTACAACACTAAACTACACATTCGGTGTCCCGAGTTAGATTCCAGGCCACGGGTAACATCAGCGGTGAGTAATTACCTAAACTTCCCATGGCCCCTCATTTTACCAATCCGCACTGACCAAACTAACATTAAAACTAAATTATTTTATTTATTTTACCAGGTAATGCCCGACTGAGCTATGTAGCTCTTTTTCAGAAGCGACCTGGCCATCACAAATGGTAGCCCAACAAAGCGGCTTATCATAGCGTAGACATTTATAGCAGCCAAATATTCTAAATGCGTGACGTTTCTAAATATGGAGGGAAAAACCGGAGGACCCGGAGAAGAATGCACGCGACCAAAGAGGGAAGAGAAACACGAAAACTCCAAATATACAGCAGGGGTCAGGGTCAGGATCGAACCCACAACCTCCTGTACACCAGGCGAGGTAGTTAACATCTCGCCACCATGATGCCCTCGGGGTGGTGAAGTATGGTTAAAGCGCGGGGAGGCCTTAATTCCAGCAGTGGACTGAGAAAGGCCGAAATTACAATGAATTTTATTTTAAATTGGATTCTGAAGAGCCCCAAAAGAGCCACTCCTCTTACGTTCCGAAGTGAGTTTTGTGCAAATGCATATCTGTCAACCCCTTATCAGTACCTACCTTATTACAGACCAATTCAGTCCTTCATTGTTACCCTGTGCCCTTATAAATCTCAACGCTCATCCTACAAAGTTCCATCATAAGGGAGAAACACAAACAAATAGACAAAACATTTGTTTTGCCCGTATTGAAACGTCTGTATGCCGTATGGACCTGAAAACTCAATTTCCCTGTACAAGAATATGGAGTAAACCGTATGGGTTGACAGCGATGCAAGTACGTGCCCCTCATCCGCTGTCGGAATGTGTTTGGCCCCGGCCACAGGAATGTGTAGTCTTCACCTTGGGCTCAGGGCTGAGCTCGCTCGAACAGGGAGATACCACACCTTGACTTTGCCCTGAAGTGATATCAAGAAAACCTCTATGGTCGCAGATTTGAATTGAAATGTAGGTTTTGTGTCAGTTTTATTTTGTGTAACCAGATGAGAACTTGAGGGACCCGGGATGGAGTCTCGTTCGGCAGAGTGACCCGGGTCACCAACAATGACAAAAAGAAAAATGAATAAAAATTAGAAAAACAGAGGCGTATCACGTGAGGAGTTGAAAATATTGGAAGACATCATCGATGCAGAGACGTGATATCCAGAGTGAGATTTGGTTTCAGAGAAAGTAGGTTATTGGCCATTTTTGTCCCGGAGAGTCTAGAAGTTGGTGCGTGGACGTGTGTTGGTACGTGCTTGGACTTGTGTTGGTACGTGCGTGGACGTGTGTTGGTACGTGCGTGGACTTGTGTTGGTACGTGCGTGGACTTGTGTTGGTACGTGCGTGGACGTGTGTTGGTACGTGCATAGACGTGTGTTGGTACGTGCGTGGACGTGTGTTGGTACGTGCGTGGACTTGTGTTGGTACGTGCGTGGACGTGTTGGTACGTGCGTGGACTTGTGTTGGTACGTGCGTGGACTTGTGTTGGTACGTGCGTGGACTTGTGTTGGTACGTGCGTGGACGTGTATTGGTACGTGCGTGGATGTGTGTTGGTACGTGCATATACGTGTGTTGGTACGTGCGTGGATGTGTGTTGGTACGTGCATAGACGTGTGTTGGTACGTGCGTGGACGTGTGTTGGTATGTGAGTGGACTTGTTTGGTACGTGCGTGGACTTGTGTTGATACGTGCGTGGACGTGTGTTGGTACGTGCGTGCACTTGTGCTGGTACGTGCATAGACGTGTGTTGGTACGTGCATGGATGTGTGTTGGTACGTGCATAGACGTGTGTTGGTACGTGCGTGGACGTGTGTTGGTATGTGAGTGGACTTGTTTGGTACGTGCGTAGACTTGTGTTGGTACGTGCGTGGACGTGTGTTGGTACGTGCGTGGACTTGTGTTGGTACGTGCATAGACGTGTGTTGGTACGTGCGTGGACTTGTGTTGGTACGTGCGTGGGCGTGTGTTGGTACGTGCGTGGACTTGTATTGGTACGTGCGTGGACGTGTGTTGGTACGTGCGTAGACGTGTGTTGGTACGTGCGTGGACGTGTGTTGGTACGTGTGTGGACTTGTGTTGGTACGTGCGTGGGCGTGTGTTGGTACGTGCGTGGACGTGTGTTGGTATGTGCGTAGACGTGTGTTGGTACATGCGTGGACTTGTTTTGGTACGTGCGTGGGCGTGTGTTGGTACGTGCGTGGACTTGTATTGGTACGTGCGTGGGCGTGTGTTGGTACGTGCGTGGACGTGTGTTGGTACGTGCGTAGACGTGTGTTGGTACATGCGTGGACTTGTTTTGGTACGTGCGTGGGCGTGTGTTGGTACGTGCGTGGACTTGTATTGGTACGTGCGTGGGCGTGTGTTGATACGTGCGTGGACTTGTGTTGGTACGGGCGTGGACGTGTGTTGGTACGTGCGTGGACTTGTTTTGGTACGTGCGTGGGCGTGTGTTGGTACGTGCGTGGACTTGTATTGGTACGTGCGTGGACGTGTGTTGGTACGTGCGTAGACGTGTGTTGGTACGTGCGTGGACGTGTGTTGGTACGTGTGTGGACTTGTGTTGGTACGGGCGTGGACGTGTGTTGGTACGTGCGTGGACTTGTTTTGGTACGTGCATGGACTTGTGTTGATACGTGCATAGACGTGTGTTGGTACGTGCGTGGACTTGTGTTGGTAAGTGCGTGGACGTGTTGGTACGTGCGTAGACTTGTGTTGGTACGTGCGTGGACTTGTGTTGGTAAGTGCGTGGACTTGTGTTGGTACGTGCGTGGACGTGTGTTGGTACGTGCGTGGACGTGTGTTGGTACGTGCGTGGACGTGTGTTGGTACGTGCGTGGACGTGTGTTGGTACGTGTGTGGACTTGTGTTGGTACGTGCGTCCTCCCTGTGATGCGCTGCAAAGTCTGTGCAGGAAGGTCAACTGGGGTAAGTACCAGAGCGACGTCAATGATCTCCACGAGCTTCCCACTCGGGAAGAAATCTCCTGCCAGCTGCTTAATCAGGTCGACCAGTGACACCAACTGTTCACACACACAAAGACAAATATCCCCATACAGCCTTAACAGACTTTTGGGGCGAGTGCTGTTAGCGAGTACCTACGAAGGCAGGGGTGGGTGACCAGCACCACACCGGACCACCTTTGTCTCCCGAGTGGCGATGCTGACACACCGCACCGACTACACATTTGAGGCTGAGTCGACCTAGGGGAGGCACAGGATCGGTTCAGCTAACCCCCTCACTGGTGTTGGTCATAAACGGGAATCGAACTCAGGTCACCGGGTTCGTAGCCCAGCGCTAACCTCTGCGCCACCGCTCACACAAGCACGCGGTTCACCCCATCTGCTCATTACAAACCACGTGTATAGCGTTCTCAATTGTACTGCGCAATATTCTTACCTGCTGCTTGTACAACCACACACGCAGCTGCACACAACCCCTGGCAGGTGCAACACGAAGTAAGAATGAACCAGCACAATAGTGAACCAGTGCAATCGTGAATAGAGGAAGCAATCGTGAACTAGCGCCCTTGCTCAATGCGCTGGGGGGGGGCACGCACCTCGGCTTTCTTCTCGGTGATCAGCTTGGTCCAGCGTTGGGCTGGCGGGAGGTCCAAGTCGATCTTGTACCAGGGAACCTGCCCTTTGTACCTGCAATCACAAGCACGACCATCATTTTCCGCTGAAGCTGCCAGACCTATAACCCAATCAATCGGTTGGTACCAAATAACTTAATTCCATTCATAAATTTGATCTTTAGTGATACCAAAGTTGGCCCACCGGCAAGTTCGCGTACAAGGATTCTGCTTGTCCTTAAACCTGCATGTGATCATTGACTCCCCCCGAAGAGTTTTCCCCACCCAATATCTGTCAACTGGAAACCACCACCACCTCCTCCTCCGACGGGTCAGAGACGGGGCCCAGCGGTTAGCGCTGCGTCCGCCGCCACTCGCAGAGGCTCACAATTCGAATGCAGCCATCGCCCTCCCCCCCCATTATTTACTGCAGGAGAAATAACCACGACAATACCATGCGGTGGACGTTAAAGATCCCCCAACGTCCATCGCAAGAGTAGCCCATTGTGTGCTGGCGTCTGAGTCCAAATTTTCCAAAACAAACAAACAAACACAATTGTTTATTTTTATTTTATCTGGTAAGGCCCCAGAGCTATGTAGCTCCTTTTCAGAAGCGAGCTGGCTATCACAAATGATAGCTCAACGAAGTGGCTTTTCACGTGGAAATTTACAGCAGCCAAATACTCTAAACGCGTGGGTCGGGATGGAACCCACAACCTCCTGCACACCGTGGTCGCCAGTTTTGTAGTGCAGCATGTTAACCGCTACATTAACACTCGTGCGCATCACACACGCACGACCACTTCATCACAGACACGGGTGAACACACTCACTCCATTGCCATTTACTATTTTAAAAATTTCATATTTTTACCAGGTAAGGCCTACTGAGCTATCAGGCCACAAATGATAGGTAAACAAAATGGCTTATCACGTAGAAATGTATAGCAGCCAAATGTTGATTCTAAATGTGGAGGGAAAAATGGGAAGACCCAGAGAAAAATCCACAGGACCACGGGGAGAACACGCAAACTCCAAATATACAGCAGGCGTCAGGGTCGAGATCGAACCCAAGACCTCCTGTATACCAGGTGTTGTAGTTAACATCTCGCCAAAAAGAAATGACCCACAAATGTCAATGAGTATTATATATCACAATCATCGAATGGCCCCAGATCACTCTTGTAAATGAGACTCACCCTAGCCTCTTGTGCTCTCACCTCGCTAAACAAAATCAACATACAAAATTGACTTCAATTCCTATACGCCCTCCTCACACATGCCACATCTGTCACCACACAGAGCTAAGGCATGGCTCTACTAATAGGATGCACAATGGTAAGTTGAGAGAAATGCGATTCTAGCTCCCAATGCTACAAGATCAATTGAGACTGACCTCGTAGATAAGAATAATAATTGCTCAAAGGCAGCTCAGGACACACAGCCCAGGTAATGCATCTTCAGCATCCTGATGTAAGTTTGAAGCTTAATTTGTGAGAAGTAGACTTTAACATCAATACCCATCGCGCAAACTCCGGTCATCCTCGCGGCGGCTTTTGTCAAGCCACCGAACAAAGACGGTCACCGCATCATGCGCTTTTAGATGCGTTTCTGCGGCCGTCTGGAATGCTCTTCCTTCTGATATTAGGAAGCCGCTGGAGCTATTCACTTTTAAATCATCTCGATTGAAAACTTTTCTTGAGAACTGCTTTTTGTTTAGTTTGTCCTTCCCCCGCACCTCCGATGAGCGCGGTTGGCTACGTAGGGTGCGAAACAGGTTCACCGTACATACATACGTATGTCCTGTGATGCCACCACAATGAAACGTACGAGTGACATCAGCGATGCGCAACAGTGACGCTCCTCACCGTGGAGTCTCGTTTCTCACTCGGGAAGCTTTAGACTTCCTGACCTCCCTCTAAATCAGACACCTCCACACTTCTCTACAGCAGACTCCCTCCGTCTGCCCTGCATCTGCCCCCAACAGCCGCCCACTGGGCACCCTCTGCTCCACTTTGAATTCCTATGCAGTTTTCCGGAGGAAAGGCAGACGGGATGTCAAATGGCCACTTAATTGTCCCATTCCCACGTGCTCTGTGCGAGGTTTAGAGTTTGAGAAGTGGTCTTCTATTTCCCCCTGCCTGACCACGTAGACCGTGATTTATGTTCGTGTTTATATACCGTACAGGCTGTTTAGAGATATCGGTTCAAATGCAGAACAGACTAATCCGTTCTTTCCTGCACTAAAAACCTCCACTATCCAACACTACGTCAACATTCACCATTACACAACGTGCCAAAGCCGTCATTCTCTTCCGATCGCAGCTGCACGACATCACAAGTCACCACTCGTGATAAGGGGACACTTAAAAACCCTAGTCCGTCACGTCTATATTATTCCAATGAACAACTTTTCATCTTTTCGGGGTGTACAAATTCTGTGCGGTGTATTTCAGTGAGGAAATGTATACGGTTAAAATTGATAGTTAAAAACTGGAACAATTCCATCAGAGAACCACGATCGTGTTTGACTTGGAAGGAATTGAGGACCACCACTAAGGCAACAACACCACCTTGTCAGAGTGCTGTTCGTTAACCAAGCACACAGCGATTAATGAACCCACGATCACATGGGCAGCCATGCCCACCCCCCCCGGCTGTTCACCTCCCACTGTTTCCCCCCTTCTCTCCCTCTCATCCTCCACTCTCCCTGTCTCCCCACCTTCTCTCACTCCCATACTCCACGCTCCCCCTCTCTCCCCCCCCCCCTTCTCTCCCTCCCATCCTCCACCCTCCCCCCGTCGCCCCACCTTCTCTCCCCCTCCCATCCTTTTGTGTAATATCATTCCATAATTGCCCTTTCTCTGGAGGTTATAGTCCTCCCATTATTCCACTGCTCATTCCACAAGGCTACATACCTCAATGGGCCTTACCTGGTAAAAAAAAGCTTGTTTGTTGACCATACTTCACCGCACTGGGAGGTTACCCTGGAAATGGTTGACATCGCTCGCCACTGGTGATAGGTTGGGAATCAAACTCAGTTGGCCGGGATCAAGAGAGTCCAGTGCACCTAACGCCAAGCAAGGAGCGCCCTCCAGTGGCGAGAGATGGAACTGCTGCCAAGATGGAAGATCTTTTCTCAAATTCGCCGTTGACGTAAATGAGAGGGGGAGTCATTGACAGCCAACAGGAGTCCATACCTGTCAACCCATACGGAATAGCCGTATTCCTGTACAGGGAAATTGAGTTCAGGTCCATACGGCGTACAGCCGTTTCAATACGGGCACATTTTTTGTCTGTTTGCATTTCTCCCTTGTGAAGGGACTTTGTTGGATGAACGTTGAGATTTATAAGGGAACAGGGTGACCAATAAGGTCTGTAATAAGGTAGGCACTGATAAGGGGTTGACAGGTATGAGAGTCACCCACAGAATCCGCCACTCATTTCAATGTCGACCCCTGTAAATGTGCTCAAACGAACGAGACGGCAGTGTGGTGGATACAATCATCACCACTAGACGAATTGCGAACCCCGCTAGAACCTTAAACGCCATATACATAACCTGTTCTCCTATAACGTGACAGTTGCGTTCCTGAAGAACAGTGCGTTATGGAAAAATCGCGTTTTAAGATATAATATAGGGTAAATCAGTCCGGAATAAAGCGTGAGATGCGTACGAAGGCTGAACAAAGACTGAGGCACGTGGGTAGCGTCTAGAAGCATCCAGCAGCATCTCGCCTTGTGCGATGCTACGCCGAGGCAGCTGTACGACCGCTTATTCCCACTCGCGCAACGTAGTTCCCCGTTAACTCGATCGCGTTATATCCAATTGGCATCCGCGTGATTGAAAAATGTGCTCCCTCACACATTCATCATGGCGTTATATCCAATTCACTTTTATTAAAACAAAATGCGTTGTTACAGAACAGACCATATCTAGTTTTGGAATATCTAGGATTTTGCCTCGGTCCAGCTTGTCGTTGGAGAGGCAACACCTTCATTACAACACCCGGTGTCCACCCCCCCATCGTGCGGCGCTGAAATACCTGCAGGACACCGGGCCCACGATCACCTCCATCGCCTTTGTTTACATAATCTTAACAGTCACGCGCCACGTGACCATACCTCACATACTTGAGTGGATAAAAGCCGAATTATCAGGTCAACGGTCATTTTTAATATATGTTACCTCGTTCACAAGATAATTAACTTGTCATATGACTCCTCCCTCATTGAAATTGACATATTTTAATAACTGCTCCTCGACTGCTGCACAATTTCAGCAGCGCAGCGGTGGCGAGATATTAACTTGTCTGGTATAGAGGACGTGGGTTCAATATCGACCCTGACGCCGCCTGTATATTTGGAGTTTGCACGTCTTTCTCCGAGTTCTCCAATTTTTCCCTCCACATTTAGAATCAAAGTGCGGTTACAGTGTTTGGCTGCTATACATTTCCACAACAGCCACTTCATTGAGCTGTCATTGTGATAGCCAGGTCACTTCTGAAAAAGAGCGACAAAGCTCAGTGGGCGTTACCTGGTAAAATAAAATAGTTTAGTTTTAGTTTTTAGTATCTACCTACAGTGCTTGTGTAGTGACATAGAATTGGTCACCACGTAACATAGCGCTGGTTGCTGGCAGAGAAGGGGATCTGAAGCTGTAGCAGCCCTGTCTGACAGCAGGTCACGTGATAAACCAGAGAGAAGGATGTAGGGGAAAGGTTACAGAGGGGGCACATGAGGGAAGCCGGGAACTCGCTAGTACGTTCTAGAAAGGGGGTGTGGCTGGGGCGGAGCGAGGCCACGCTGGGAGGATAAAAGGGGACTCCGAGCAGGAGCTCGGGGCTGTTGCATGGAGTGGGATCCTGGTCGTGTTGCTGGAGTTTTCGCCGCCGTCTATGTCTTCACCTGTTTGCATTCTGACCACAAGCATTGTGGTTAATGCAGACATGATTCCTTGTAAAAGCTTTCAGTTTGGTGTTTTAACATCTTAACACCTTGATTTGAAGTTTTCGTGACTGCAGGAATCCATACTCTTTGGTTCTTTCGGTAAAGTCACATAGGTAGAAATAAAATA